CAGCGCACCCTCCTCCTCCTCGTGCGACACGTCCTCTGCTCTGCCGCGAGGTGCTCTGCCGCGAGGTGCGCTCGAGCGGTCGAGGGCGCACGACAGGCGGGCGACCTGCGGCGGCAGGCAAACCGGCAGTAGGCCCTCGCACGGGTCCGGCGCTGCAGGGCGCGGCGGACGCCGGCCGCCTCGTGATGCAGGCGGTCGACCTCCTGGCTCGCGTCTCGTTCTGCCTCGGAGCTGAGCCTCGTCCGCAGCGTCTCCATCTCAACCTCGCGCTGCTTCGCGTCCGACAGCAGGCGGCCGATCTGCAGGCGCAGTGAGTGGAGAGCGGTGTCGCCTGCAGCGAGAGGCTCTGCTTCCGCCTGCCGCGACTCTGCGAAGAGCGTTCGCCGACGGCCGCTCGACGCGCCCGCGGACGCTGCGGGCGGGCTGCGCGGCGCTGAAAAGCCCTCGTCCGCACGCCGCCATGTCTCGAGGAGGCTTGAGATGCTTCCGCCCGCGGCCATCTTCTTCTCAAAGCAGCGTCCCTTCAACCGCCCGGCAGGGTTTCACGTCCTCTGCCGGTAGGGTAGGGTCGCAACCGTTGCGTTGTGCCCTTGTTTGTTCTCTTGGCACCTTGGAGTGCTGGGGGGGGCGACAGGGAGGATGTGGCCTTGAGTTATGTGTACGCCTACTCAGGGTGTGTGGCAGCCCGCTGGCCGTGTGTCTTGTCTCTTGTGAGCCTGTTTGTGTCTGAGAGATTTTTATTAACCAACAAGAAATCACGACTCTCACAGTGATTTGGGCTCGGCAGCTTCTTGTGTCTGTGTGTCGCTCGTGCGTGTCGTCATCATCTGTCTAGCGTCCACCCGTACTCTCTCTCTCCCATACCGCGTTGGTGTCCAGTCCGAGCCTGGCTGTTCTTCACCTTTCTACCTACCTACCTACCTGGAAGAGAGAAACTTGATGACACCATGAAGTACAGCGATCGCCTTCTCGCTGGCCTCTCCGCAGGCCCCCCCGACCGCGTCGAACTCATCGGCGCGGGCTCTCTCGGCTACGGGACCGGCCCCAGCTTCGGCTGAGGGCTAACAAGCTGCCGAGCCCAAATCACTGTGAGAGTCGTGATTTCTTGTTGGTTAATAAAAATCTCTCCCTACCTGCGTTGTGTCAAAAACAAAACACATTTGGTATTGCTAAAAATCTCTCTCTCTCAACACATAGAGCTTTCGCAAGAGAAAATTGTTTTCGTGTTGAAATGTACGGGAGGGGGGAGAGAGAGAGAGAAGAGGTTTTGATGATTACGTCTCTCTAGATGCA